CCCCAACAAGCTTTAGTTAGTTTCCCTGCCACCATTTTCAGCTCAGGGATGCTGATGCACACAACGCTCTGGGTGCTTTAATAGAGCGACTCTTGAAGCTGCTTCAATTAAAGCTCCCCACCCCTCCTCTTGGAGCACATCTATAAACACCCACAGGTACTATCCTGCTGCAGAGTTTTTTACTCCACAGCAGTGCACATTTAGATGCTGCCCCAGCTGGCTGGCACATGAGGGTGCTTTATTGTGGGGGCTGCCTGATGGCTAGCCCCATGCTGAAGCACCCTCATACCCAAGCCAACCCCTTGACAGCATGTGGAGCTGGAGGGGGGGGCATCCCTGGACTGGTAGGCTTACACCCTGGGCCTCCTGCCAGCCCGGGGCTGTTCTGCGCATGCTGTTGTCTCGGATGTACATGAAGAGGTGGTACCCAGGAGCAATAAACTCTGGAGTTTATTCATGGACCTTAATTGCATGTGTTGGCATACCTAAAGTGTTCAAAGTACGGCTCCCATTGACTTTACTTGCAAGTGTTAGTATTCAACACTTCTGCAAGTCAAACCCCAGGGTCTCAAGCTGGATAACTAGAAAATAAGGAACACACATTTAGTAACCATCCATGAAAAATCAATTCAAGTGATTTGTCTAGCAAGGCATAGGAACCCTACTTGCAGTGTCAAGGACAGAATCTATTTCTACAGGGTAGCATTTAATTTAATCACAGAACTATCCTTTCTCTCTACAGTCCCTTCCTCCTTTCATTATTTGCACAACATCTTTTGTGTTTATATGCTTACGTGATTCATACATAGACTTGGTCCAGTTCCACTCAGGTGCTCTAAGAAAGGCAGAGCAGATTATATTTGCATGGACACATCTTATCCAAGAACCATTCTCCTACTTAGCTCTAGTACCCACTCCTCAGGCTTCTCATCCTAGCCCTATTTCCTTCAGTCAGACATTCCAGTCCTACACCACCAACTCTATATCTCAATTTGCAATTTCTGTCTCCACACCATGCTCTAAATTTTGCTTTTTTGTCCTAGTCTTTTCCATTTCTCCTCCTACTTTTTTCCCCTCCTCCAGTTCTTGTCCATCAGCATTCAGTTTAGGTGCCTTTCTCCAACTTCCTGCCTGGAGTCTGGCAGATCACTGACAGCACAGGAAAGTCTTTTGAATTCTCACTTCTAATGCTTGGTTTTCTCCTGTAAACCCAAGATTCGGAGCATGTTCAGTCATTCCATGATGTATAAATGCACTGGAGTCAACTATAGGAAATGGAGTATGGAGTCTGCTGAGAATATTCAGCAAGTTTGCGTGTTAAACTCTAAAAAGTCTTTACTATGCATGTATATACTGAGTTGTTTTCAAAGGTTTATGATGTGGCTAAACTTGGACAAGATTTTCACAGGAACAGCAAAAGGCACATCCCTGAAATAGGGGTGTTTCTGCTGCTAAATGTCAAGTCTTTGAGGGGGAAAAAAATATACATTTTAGAACTATATAGTTCAAGGGTGGGCAAAACACTGTCCATGGGCCACATCTGGCCCACCAAGGGATTGTGTCCAGCCCATAGTGGGTCCCTCGGTCCTGCCTGGCCAAGGCACAGGGGACAGCATGAGCTATAGCATGAGCAGTTTGTCTTGCCATCCTGAGATGCACAGTGGGTCTGCAGTGGCCAGATTTGCTTCCCAGCAGCAGCAGCTCCTCTCAGCTGTTACTGCTGGACCTGGGTCCCACTGCCCAGGCACCCCAGCGCATATGCCTTGCACCCACTGCTGGGGCCAGGATCCATGTGAGCAGGGCAGGGAGTGGGACAGGTGGCTGAGGCCAAAATCACAGGGGGGTGACAGCATGATGCCAGGGACAGGGTAGAGGTGCAATCTACAGCCCACATGCCCTTGCAAAGTGCATGGGTTCTGTGAGCAGAGGCATGTGAAGAGTGAATTGCAGCTCTGTCCCAGGCCCTGGCCCCACATTGTCACTACCCCAAGAGTCCAGACCTGGCCCCAGGCACAGCTTCCTGCCCTCTTACAGCCTCAACCTGTCTACCTGGCTGTGCACCCTGCCAGTCTCCTTGGTCTGAAACCCTCCTTCTCTGCACAACAGCTCACCAAAACTCCTTAAGTGGATCTGCTCCGTGCTTGGCTAGTGGCTGGAATGGGGTCATGGGTAGGCAGGAAGTGGGACTGGCGGATGAGGGCAGGGCTGGGATCATGGGGTAGTGACAGCACAGGGCTAGGGCCTAGGTCACAGTTGCAATCTGCTCCCCATGTCTCTGCCCGGTGAACCAGTTGCAGGGGCATGCGGGCAGCAGATTGTTCCTATTCCCAGAGCCCTGGCCCCGTGCTGTGACTGCCTCTAATCCCAGCCCTGACTCACTTATCCCCACTTCCTGCCTACCTGTAGCCCCATCCCAGCCACACAGCCAGGTGTGGAGCAGAGCCACTTAAGGAGTTTGAATGAGCTGTTGCACGGGGGAGGAAGGTTGCTGACCCAGCCCATGAATGGTCCCCAAAACTGCCTATGTGGCCCATGGGCCCAAATAGTTGCCCACAGCTGATATAGTTGGTTCAATAACTGATTTACAAACAACTTTTACCCTTCACTCCAGGTTGGAGGGTCACTCATTTTATGTCATTCAAGTGCATCTCTCCATACCTGTAAGTGGGGCTAGAAGCTTGTGGACATAATGCCTTCACAAGGATATCTCTGAATCACTGTCCTTCATCTGCCTTGTATATACAAGGTTAGTTAGGGGGGGGACATTGGGTAGCCTGAAGAAAGAGCTTCGCTATTGCGTATGTGAATCCCACCTTTTAAAACCCTTGCACAGTAGCTGTGAAAGATTATAGTCTGTTTTCTCCTGACCCCCTCGTACAATTTGACTTTGTTCAGGAACTGGAAAATTTTGACAAGTTCCATTACTTGCTTAGTGTATATCATGACAGTATGTAAATACATTTCACTATAGTTACTCTTAAAGAGGCCTTAAAATTCCAGTGTTGTTTTCTACATATGCTCAGAAGCACTGAAATGACCTCCAGCTTGTATTATTGGCCTTTTGGAAATCTTAGACTGTCAAGAAATGTGTGGAAAAAATGGACACACATTTCATCTACAACAAAGTAAGTCACCTCTTATGTGAAATGATTCCATGAACTTAACACTGTAGAGAGAGAAAAGGAAAACACAAAACTTACCCATATGTTTAGATGAACCGTAGTTCATTACAGACCCAAAAATGTGGTGGTATTCTGCTTTTCCTTTATTTCTTTTAAAGAATGTTGCACTTATTATGTTATTGCCTAGTGGTGGGGTTTAGAAGAAGCACTTTAATAAAAACTGTTGAATGATCAAGTTAATCAAGGTTCCAGGTTTAAATTTAGTTTTAGCAGTGGAAAAAAGTAATACAGGTTGCCATATAGCAAACAACAGTTTTGTAGTACCACATCAGTCCTTCCAAATCCTGTTCTTCTGTTGGGATTGATCCCAAAGAGGATAAATCCCTGGAGTCATGCTTACCCTTCCATACTTATTTTTATGCACAGTAATCTCATGACTCAAGTCTGGAACACAGCAAAGATTCATTTTATTTAATTTTAGTTTTACAAGTATTGAAATAACTTTGTAAAATGTCATTGCTTGCATAGTGATCATTATGTCACCATCTCAGTAACTTCTATAACCTTGTAGATAACTAATTTTTCCCTTACTATTTTGTACCCGAGTAGAATAAGAACTTGCAATTAATACTTTGACATTTGCTTTTATCTATGCAGTATCGTCCTTGTTTATTAAGAGCAGCTCAACACAGTCTAGTGACTGAGTAGAATATTGTTAATCATATTACTATCAAGTTAATTCATAGCCCCATAAAGTATGAAATACGTTTGTCAGGCATCAGTTAATGTACTCTGTAACATCCTGTACACCCAACAAATCAAAATTGGAGCCATTATTGAAGTACTGTATGTCTTTTAAGTTTGACTGGTGCTGGTAGATTATTTCAGTCTATACATCAAACTGAAATACTGGACTCCCCAGGAAGGAAATTTTAGAGGTGCATGGTGTTGTCCTTTTCCATTTAAACTGTGTCATCTTTTTTAATTTCAAACACCATTTAAGGGGTTTAAGGAATCAATAGATTGTCACTGATTTGTGCCAACTGACTGACAAAGGACATCATGGTAAATTGGTCAGCCCATAGGCAATTAAAACATGACATATATTAATAAACTATAATTAAGGCATTACAAAGTCGTTATTCATAGTAGGTTAGCCCATGACATCATAAAAAGGTTAAAGCAACAATGTGAACCAGTTTGGAGAAAAATAAGTTCCCAAAAACATAGGTAAGAGAGGATTTTTTTTCCAGCATGCTTATATTTCACTCCTGTAAGTTTTTTAATTATTTGTTTTTATGTTAAACTGTCCTTCCACCTAGCAATCGTCAGTTTTACAATGTGTTTACATCGAGTGCTTGGTTTTGTTTGTTTGTTTGTGTTTTTTATTTTTTTTATTAAGAGGTTCAAATATCTCTCTTGCTTCTCAACAGGGGCTGGAGGTTGGTCTCCATCAGACAGCGATCATTATCAGTGGCTGCAGGTGGACTTTGGGAACAGGAAACAGATCAGTGCTATTGCAACTCAAGGCAGATACAGCAGCTCTGATTGGGTGACTCAATACCGGATGCTCTATAGTGATACAGGGAGAAACTGGAAACCGTATCACCAGGATGGGAATATTTGGGTAAGTCACTGCTGCAGAACTCTGGCACAAGCCATCACAATACACTTCTTTGATGTTTGACTTGGTTGTTAGAAATTGTGTCTCAGTCCTTACACCTCACTAGAATCTGGCACTCATGTATTCTCCAGGGAATAGTCCTAAAAGACCTGAAGGTCAGAAGGAATGATACAGGTTTTAGAGTTGCTGAAAGGTCAAAAAAACATGCACTATATAGTATAATGTAACAGTGTTCACTCCTAGTTCTACATTTTAGGAGAAGTTCATGATTTTTTTTCATGGAAGTGAAACCCAATTCCTAGATATTCCAAAGATGGCATAGTCAATGACAACGTTATCTGAGAATAGTATCTACTGGGTTGACTCTAGTGTGTTATAAATAAGATGTCTAAAAATAACAAATTGTAGCATAGCTGGAGGAGAACAAGCCTACCAGCTGCTACTTGCATATTGGAGAGTGGGGAAGAAATGTGTTGCATTGAATTGCTTGTGTTCCACATAAATACTGCAAGTAGCTTTATGCTATAGTAATACTATAACATTAGAGGTAGTCATGTAACTTTTGGTTTGGCCTTTCAGCTGTGTTATAAAAAAGCTGTTCACCTCTTTCTTATCCTGAAAGATTAACCCAGCATTTTGTCTGAAAGAAGAAACAAGGATATTTCTTATCCTTCTCTTCCTAAATTTAGTCCTAAGAGATGTTCGTCCCTTTTAAAAATGTATATTTGTAAAAACATATTGAGGAGCTCTCATATGTCTGGAATTTAAGCAAGTTTATTAGGTATGGTGTATAGCAACCCTCCTTGCCCCCCGCCCCCACAAATAAATAAAACTAGCCACCCCAACAAAATGAACTGGGGTAGGGGGAAGAAAAAAATTCTGGTTTCTGTTAGAGGCAAGAAAGTGTAGTAGTGTGTGCTATCTTATATTCACAATTTTGTCAGTTCTTTTATTGAAGCCTTTTAAAACAAAATATTAAAAAGTAACTTCAATATGTCTATGGAGTAAAATGAAGGACTTCAGCTATATAAAAGAAAATTAATGTGTATCTGCAGTACATGCAGGCTGTATTTACTAGATTACGGACATATTGGAAAACTTCACCTGTGTGTCAGATGTATGATATGCAGAGAGAGAAAGAGAGAATTAAGATGGAAGGGGGATAATAGGTAGCCAGGAAAGTTCCAAGTGTTAGACTTGTTAGCATATGCTACGAAGAAGGTTGTACACTGCATAAAACCCCAGTTGTGAAATGTTCCTGCAGTGGGAAGATCTAGGATTTTTCTAAAGATCACTCTGTCTCTCAGACTATGGAGGGATATGGGGGGCAAGGAGTGGCTTCTGCCCCCAGGCCAGTTTGGGACACTGGGGAGCAAGGCAGAGAGTAGGTGCATGAAGGGGAGGACCTGCCTGTTGCTACCATGGCTTCTGTCCCTGGCTGACCCCAATGTGGAAGGAGCCCCAGAGCTGCTCTGGCTGAACTCCAGCCAGGGACTGTGGAGAGTAGCTGTGTGGGGTGCCATGCTTGGGTGGTAACAGTGGCGGTGGCGTATAGGTTCCTTTTTCCAGTGCCTGCACTCTGCTCACTCCACGTCCCCTTCCCTTCCATGTATCCCCCCACTGGCTGGGGGAAGATGCTGGAAGGAGGAACCTGAATGCTGCTGCAGCCGCTGTTACTAGTCAAGCTTGTGCCTGCAGCAGCATCTCTGGGCCCTCCCCCTACCTGTCAGCTGGAGATGACTCCTTCCAGTGCCTGCTTCTGGCTGAGATCATATTGGGAATGTGGGAGGGAGCAGTTACAGGAGAAGGAAATCTACTTGTTGCATTCCTGTCCCTTGCCAAGCCTGGTACACCACACACATGATGCCTGCAACCTGTGGCTGGAGCAGAGCAGAAGTGGCTCTGGAGCTCCCCCCACCCCTGGGTCAGTTGGGTACAAGAGCAGTGGAAGGGTGGTGTGACAGAACCGCTGCACCCCTTGGATCCACTCCTGCTTCTGCATAGGTGGCTGAGAATGAATAGTCCCCTTGAGGACTATTTTACATATATGAAGAGTCCACAAGAGGACTCTTCATATATGTAAAACTGTATGATGATATCAAACTCAGATGTATGAGTGTTTGTAAGATTCAGGCTGAAGAAGGCATTTCAGGATAGAAGCTTGGGCCCAGAGCAATTCCCTTCAAGAACCCATGGATGGAGGCCTAGGCAGCTGCAGCTAATAGATTACAAAACCTGGTTGAAGGTTCGAGCCAGTTGAAGGCCTGTTGCATGATTGGAGGAAAAATCTGCTGTGTAGGTTCTTCACTTGAAACAGGGCTTGCCCTTGTGGGGTGTTCTGTTTTATTTATTTTTAAACCTGTTAATATTGTTTTCTAATCCAAGCTGCTGAGGTATGTGGAAGGGTTCTACTTCCATGCTGATTTCTTAAACTAAGTATGCTGAGTCTTTGCCCCAAAGAGCCTCTTCTTCCCTCTAATTAACAAACAAACAAATGAAAACCATTCTAACATTATGGGGATGACTTTGAGATGCTGAACTGCCATGTTCACATTGGACAATGCTTGCAAAAGATTTGACATTTCACCATATGGTGTCTAATGAGTCGTACCAGGTTCCTGCTTTCTCCATGTGGAACCTATAATGAAAGTTCATAAATTCATATCTGCTGCATGCATCTTTGGAAAACTTTTATTAAATTGGTTGCAACTATATATATATTGCAACCAATTTAAAATATATTTTTTTTTTTACTATATATATAGTATAAATAGCCATCTAACAGTGATACCCTTTATCCCTACCCCCCACCCCCCACTTTGGAAAGGTTCATTAACATACCCTTCCTCTATACTCCTTGTTAAGAACACAGCAGAGTAACTATCAAAAATGCTCTGAACCCACTCTGTGGTTGAAATAATTCAAAGGGAATTATGTTGGAATCTTAGTGACAGCTGTTTATATTTCATGCAGATAATTGAGTTATCTCCACAACCGATTTAAGTCCCTCCCTGCTACAATCCCATGTCCAAGTAGCCAATTTTATGATTCTTTGGATATTGACCCAGTGTTTACTGCTGCTTAAATCAAAAGTAATTCCCCTTTCTCACTTTCTAGGCCATTAGAAGGACAGGGGATTCGTAGGGAGCTGGCGTAGAAAACATCCTCCACAACAATGAACTGGGACTTGTAGAATCAGCCAGATGTGAAGTTTTAATTCCCAAGTTTAAATTGTTCTCTCAGGTTACATGAGTACAGTTCCTTGTAAGAAGAATTTAGCCTACTGGCTTTTAACTCTCCAGGATTTTTATTCACTGGAGAGTGGCCTTTGATTAACATCCCTGCACACACACTTAAATGGTATTGTTCCCTGACAACAGAGCATCTGAAATGAGAGGAGAAAACAGAGGAAAAAAGGAAAATTGAAGTGTAGAGTTCAGCAATATTCAGTACTAAAGCAGCTGTAATATCAAATGACACAGCCAGGAGACAAAATGTGAAAAATAAAAGGGAACCTGCTTAACTGAGAGACGGAGACAGAGCAAAAAAGAAATAATTTCCAGCAAAGATCTTCATTAGAACAAACCATGATAATCTACATAAAATTTTGAAATGACCCCCTTTTGAATGCGTTAGTCACAGGGAAAAAAAAGTTCTATAATTACCTGCTAAGTAAGAGAGAAATCAAAAGTCTCACAGTAAGACTGTGATGGAGAAAGAGCTTTCAAGGTGAATTTAGAGTAAGCTTTCCATTTCTATGAAATAAATTTTCTGTCCCCACCCCCCTTGGACTTCTGAATATTTTCAATCCTATGAATTTTAATAAGATGAATGAATGTGCCCTCTTTCCATAAAATGCCTAGCAACTAGTGAATTTTGATCACCTCTTCCGACTACACTCCTGTATTGTGAGATTCTAATTTGAAGCGGTCATGAGGTTTCCCTAAATATGTCAATTTACTGGGATGTTTCATATTAGCATAATATGTCTCGATTTAAGTATTGATATAATCTGTTTGTCTATATGAACTATATCCAAGTATTTATCTGCAAAATACATATCAGATCTTAGACTGTGTTTCAGTACTGGTTTTCTTCCCTGAAGAGCTCAGTATGGATGCTATAAAGTGTGTCACATTAATTGTGCTGAGTATAATGGAGATGTGGCCTATAACTGAATATAAGTATAACTAGGGTGAAAGAAAATGCTTGGGTATGCTGTAATGGTATAGAGTAGGCACAGAAGATCCCTAAGATTCAGGCCTATCCTACAGGAAACTGGAAGACTCTAGTTACTTTATACCATGCAATTAGAGGGTACTAGTTGATTTCCTATACTTAAAATTAGAGTATACTAATAAAAATGGTGAGCAACTCCTGCCATCTTTGTTTTCTTATTCTTTGAGATCACAAAGATGTTAAAGTAGGTACTAATACAATACTGAGGTATTGATGGGAAAAGTGAAATGAAATCACCTCACATAGACACTCTGGCTATGTATAGACACTCAAAAAACCTGAGGCAAAATTCATGCAAGTTAAATTTTCTGTAAGCAGCGTAGTTTATATTGGTAGTGAACAATGCTTCTGCTTTTGTACATTTCTAGGTGGATTTTTCTTATTAAACTTGAATACAAAGCTAAGCCTAAAATGTACTTTGCATTTCTGTTAGTAAGAAGAATCTGATGCTACTTAACTGAGAGCCTCCACAGCACAAGTATTAAGAGACTATATCTCAACATGTTGGCACGGAGAGAGAGAAGGTCTACAGATAGAAGTTCTACAGATACCTGGCCCCTTAGCCAATGCTGGGTCAAAACAGTACAAGTAGCTTACAAAGGAAAATGAAGCCGTAATACGAAAGGCAGGATTCTGCACTAGTACAATGGTCCATACATTGTAACTTGGATTTTCAAAGGAGCCTGAATGACTTAGTCACTCAGTTCAGCTGATCATGGGACTTCAAGGTGCTTAATTCTTTTGGGTCTCCTTAAAACTTCTCA